AGAATCCATTATCAAGGGTTTCAATTTCAGAGATGATCGTCTCATGGACAAAATGTGGATCTGTAGGTCTAATATAACTGACATGGTCACGTTCTTCAGAGTCATGGCTTTTTGCCACACGGGCATTCCTGTTGAAAACGACCACAGCGATAGAATGATGTATGAGGCAGAGTCTCCTGAGGAAGTTGCCTTCCTGATTGCAGCACATCAGTCTACTATGTTTCTTCAAGAGCTTGATCCTACATCAAAATTGGTGGTGAAGAGATGAGACCTCCGTGTTAGTCTCTTTTAGTTGTTTTCTTTCAGCCTCTCGATTTTTCTTACCAGCACATCAAGATCATATTCAGAGAATACAAGCTCTTGAATCTATTGGAGTTCAATAGCTCCAGAAAGAGGATGTCTGTGATAGTACGCAATGAAGATGGGGAGGTCTTTTTGTTCTGCAAAGGAGCTGACGAGTAAGTTATTCTGAGTTCTTTAATTCAGGTGCCTGCTTGAAAAAATTGTGTATATCTGATTCTGTATATTTTCAGTTGCATGCTATCTTTCCCATCATTTTCACTAAACTTCAGCATCTCATGTGTTGCGAAATTTTTCTGCATACAGATTTTATGTACCTATTATCCGTCAAGGTTCCTATTGTTTGATGATTCCATTTCTTTTGGCTCTAAGTGTCATCTTTGACAGGCTTGCAGACAATGGTAGAACATATCAGCAGGCAACAACTATGCACCTTTCGAATTATGCAGAAGATGGCTTGCACACTATGGTGTTTGCATATAAAAGAATTGGGTTGTTTGATGATAAGTGCGTTTTCTAACGTATATTTAACATCTTTACATGAATAGTTGTTGACATTAATGCTTGAATATGGCTTAATTTGTTGTAAATTGTGCTTATCTCTACATTGATGTATGTAATGAAATGTAGGAAAAAATAAACGAAAAAGGACCAAGATGAAGGAAAATCAAATTTCAGGGACTGAAATGCAGATATTCAAAAGATGAACCGGAAGAGAA